TTCTTGGTTAGGTTAGGTTGACCTTGATTAGTCTAGGTTAGGTTAGGTTAGGTTAGGTTCTTTAAGTGGGTTAAGTTACGTATGGAGAATATTTGATTAAGATTTACCCCGAAAATGCCGACACCTGTGTCTATAAAATACCATATACAAAATACGATAAATTTTATTTTGGGAAAACTGGAAAGAAGTCTTGAGTTATGATTACAGCAACATAAATTTTGCAAGAAAACTCAGCAAGAGCCTTATCTCTGTTTATTCGTGTGAGGGATTTTCATCACTTCAGTGAGTGATTAAAAACTGAGAAAGTTGTAACACTCAAATCAGTGACTGAAAGAAATAGAATCGAGTATTGTAAAAAAAAAAAAGAAAAAATATAGAACTGATCAAATTTTTAAAATTACTCCATGATTGTATTAACTTAATTCATTCAGAATACATAAAATATATGAGAATTATAAGCTATGCTGCGAAGCAAATTCATAATTACCTAATATGAAACTCTTAGCCTTTCAAAAACTGAGAACACTGTAGATATCGTGCAGTATGCCTACCATCCCACGATCTTTGAGTTAACTTTCTCTCCTGGGCAGAAATAATGTCAGGCAACTCAGACGCAGTAAACTTAGTATTAAAGACTAGTGTCAGGTGCCTTCATCTTTCTGACACCATCTCATTCTAGCTACAGTCGTTTCCTTGAACGCTTCTATCTGGACTTCTTACTCATTTCTTCAACATTACAAGCTCTGATGATGTGTTGATTGCAACACAAAAGGCTTAGAGCTATCAGAATGTGGGCCAACGGTTGGCGCCAACCCCGCACCACCACCACCCTCTTCCCCCCATATGGGGTAGGAGGGTTTTGAGATGTCAAGTATTATGAAATTAGAAGATATAATAACCAGCCTCAAGCTTTTTCTTACTGCTTAGAACAGGTCATGTGACTGGAGAAAATACGTTTCTCAGTGGATATTATAGCTATCCATATATATAGTATCAACTGAGAAACGTATTTTCTCAAGTCACATGACCTGTTCTAAGCAGTTATAAAAAGCTTGGGGCTAGCTATTGTATCTAATTTCATAATACCTGACGTCTCGAAACCCTCCTACCCCATATGGGGGGAGGAGGATGGTGGTAGTGGGTGGCACTAATTGTTGGCCCAAATTCTGAGAGAGACTGCAGCAAGTGACAGACCCACACTGCGCTACTCGGAGAAAACTTCCCCTTACTCCTTTAGTTGCTGCCTTGCAACATTGCATAACTCCTGATGACTCACTGAGAAGTATGAAAGTACTGAAGCTAAAGATGTCCACCCCACGTGGCTTGTCTTGCATAATTAAGATCGCCTGTCTGCGATTGTTTGAATATATATATATATATATATATATATATATATATATATATATATATATATATATATATATATATATATATATATATATATATATATATAAAATAAGATCACAGTAAACAGGTGATTTCAGAATATGCAAAACAACCACTGTGAAAGAATAGAGAAATTCCAAGCGCCTTCTCTATTCTTTCACAGTGTTTTTTTTTTTTTTGCATATATATATATGGGGTGGTAGGGGAAGTGGAATATTCAAATGGCTTCAGGAAGAAATCCAAATATTCTTCCTTGAAGCCTTTTTATCCACTTCTCCGAGGCTATGGGTCCCACAATTTACACCAGAGGTGGACCCCATCTGTATATATATATATATAATATATATATATATATATATATATATATATATATATATATATATATATATATATATATCTTTCGTACTCTCTGTGTGCCGTAACGAGCTATGCAATGTTGCAGGACTACCAACAGATAGTAGGAGGAAAAATTCTCTGAGGTAAGGCAGAAGCTTAAAGCGTCAGGCCATGTCACAGTCTAGTGTGTGTGGGTGTTGTCCGTTCCTCAACCACCTCCACCTGTCCCCTCTTTCCCTTTACAGGCAAGGGGAGGGAGAAACCTCGAAAGTTTACAGAAAGCTAGTTACAGAATGATAAGGAATAGCGGCATTGTTCCCAAAACCGCCTTTTAATTGTCATCAATTTATCGAGTGATGTATGGAATCATAAGTAGTAAATACCCCAACACACTCAGGCTTTAAGTAAGTTTAAATATTAAACTAAACGTCCGAGAATGTTCTAGAAAGTGTTGTCTACAAAGATCCCGACTTATTTACCTACAATGCTGCAAGATCGTTTCAGTGTTTCATAATTCCAGGACCCCAGAGGCGATAAGTTCCTCTGCCCGACCTCTATAGGCTATCCTAGGAAACTCCCAAATATGTTATCCTAGGAAACTCGCACTTATGTATATTGCATGAACCTGTATAACCGCACTCGTATGTGGGGGTCTATATTGAATGACTACTACCATTAGCCACTAGCTACTTATTTCAGTATACCATCAAAGCAGTACTACTATATATCTCTTATAGTATTACATCACTCTAGTACCAGAAATATTTGTTTAGAAATGAGAGGAGCATATTCTCACCTCCACCAACCTACGAGCGATGCTGTACTTTCTGGAAAAGACAATATACGGCGATACAGACAATGAGACTCGATTTCCGATAGGTTACACATGTAGAGCATTCTATCATTGTTTA